TATTCCCCTGCTGGGGATCTTCCCCAAAGAATTAAAAGAATTATACCACAGCAATATATGTGCACCCGTGTTCATAGCGGCACAGTTTGTAATAGCGAAAGCTTGGAAACAGCCCAAGTGCCCATCAACTGGAGACTGGATAAAGAAGATGTGGGGTGTTTTTATAAAATGGAGTACTACTCAGCCATAAAGAATGAAAAACTAGCGTCATTTATAGCTAAATGGATGCATATTGAGGCCATACATATAAATAGGACAGATGTGTAAATACTGAATAGTTTCTCTAGTATGAGAAACTGATAGTGTAAACAAGGGTTAAAATGATTAAAATGAATAATTGATAATTTGAAATAGGAAAAAAGGTCCAAAGATGAAGGGGTGAAGGGAGGGGAAGGGGAAAGGAAAAGAGGGAAAGGAAAAACTGTGAGAAAAAAAAAAATGGAAATGAAATCTATGTAAATAGGGAAGGGTGGAGGGGGTGAAGGGTGCACAGGTAATGGGGGAAAAAAATAAGAACCACGATATAACATGTACAGGTACAAACACCCAATGATAAATGTAAATGAACTGTATACCTAAAATGTACCAATAAAAGAACTAAATTTTTTTTAAAAAGGTAGCTGAGACAAACATCTACGCACAAGGGCCTACATGCCTCAACAGTCAGAATAGAGCACATCTGGATTTTGGTACCTGTGTGAGATCCTGGAATCAACCGTCCACAGGTGGGAGGGCGACTGGATTTACTTATAAGGATGTTACTGGAATTTAATTCCAAAAACGTAGCGATTGATATGTGCTTTATAAAATGTTTCATTTGTTTTGCATCACTTTTGTTCTCCATCAAGAATAAAATACATCCATTATACAACAATTCAAAAAATCAGAAAGTAACTATTAATAACTAAGAATTCAACCCTGATTTCTTTTTCCAGATTGGAGGGATTAAATTAGTATAAAACTAAAATATTATTTTGGAAACTCTTTTAGACTGAAATAAATTATGTCTACAGTACTTTTAAGAAAAAACCAAGATCCATCATGTACAGGTACAAGCACCCAATAATAAATGTAAACATATTGTATACCTAAAATGTACCAATAAAAGAATTTAAGGAGAAAAAAAAGAAATCTCAAAATACTGAGAATAAAAGAAAACAAAGAATAAAAGGAAATAAAATATGAAAATACTCAAGAAATATCTTAAACTATAAAATTCACTAGCAAAATACTTTGTTGAACATTCATTTTTCCTTAAGAAAAATTTTATAAAACACAATTCCAAAGGTAAAATTAACTGAAGAAAAATTCCAACATTTAACAGAGTTATGAATTCAATAAAGAATATAATCTGAAAAGGTCCACATTAGAAAAAGTTAAAGATTAATACACTGATTAAATCATACAATGCTAAAACTAAGGACTTATGCACAAATTAGGATGTTATAGAGAGTAGTTAAATATAACTTACTTGGAATATTTTCCATTTGCAAAATATTACAGAATCATATAGTACCCTTAGCAAAGTGTTTTCTTCCCTGACTGTTACAAAACCTCAGACTTATTTTTCAGACAAGATACAGCAAAGTAAAAACATTGTCATTTGTTTCAGAGTAGTTAAAATAAGAATAGCTAAGTCAATTCAAGATTTTTCTAGTAAAAATCATACCTCACACTTAGAAAATAACATATCAAGGGAGATAATGCACTTATGAATATAATCAATTGTCAAATAGAGTAAAAATCATTTAACGTCTCATTTTCAAGGAGATTCTGAGTTAATTCCAAGATTAATTTTTCCATGAGTTTCTGATTTTGGAGAATTTATGACATTGTATTAGTTCCAATGCATACATTAAGCCTCAAGAACTTCTCACATAAATTAGATTTCCTGACAGACTTTTTGTGTGCTAAGTAAAATATGTGGCTAAAATATTTTATACATTTTTTATATTTTTATATATTTATATAAAATATTATATATATTTTCTCATATATATTTCTACTTACTGTAAGAACAGATAAAGCCACAGAGCAAAAATGATAAAATTCAATAGTTTAACATTTGTTTTCAATGTATAATAGCAGTGTATTATTAAAGACCATAATATTACTGTCTGGAAATAGGCTGCTCATTTGAAAAATAAACAGATTAACAATGTTTATGCATCCTTGATTTATATTAAGAGTAGCTGATTAACTTTAAGGCCTAAATAAAATCTAATTCACATTCTATGTGAGGAGGATGCAGACGAAACACTATACATGAATTTTGAGGTTTAAACTTCTGTAAGATTTTTGTAGTTCATGCTCACATCAAGGACATTAAGATGACAAGTATTATACCTGCTAGGGAGCTTTATCTATACTGATAGCAATGAAGAGAGACTCAGAGTAAGCCACTGCTCATGGTAATAACCTTCTCAAGATATCCGAGTTCAGAAATATTTTTCTCTAAAAAACGGAGATACCAGTCACAATACTTAAATTCACCCAAAGATTTTACCCATTTTTTTAGTCTACATCTTGCCATGCAGGCTTTCAGTTCTACAGTTTTATATTTAAAGTAAAAATTCCAAGCGTTATTTTTATTGCTAGTGTGCTTCCCAGAAGGCAAAATTATTATTTCACAGCCTTTCTGAGAACAGCCATTGAGAAGAACAAGATGTGCTGTTGGTACATAGCCCACCTCCCTCTCAGGCTTGTACGCCAGCCCTTGCAGAATTCTCTAGTCCACACACTGACCAAAATAGACTTCTGATAAGGAATTTTTGATGATTCATGAAAGACAGTATCTTAGGTTTTAGTGCATAAAATGATAAACCAGCTTTGATTATAATTACTATTATAATAGTATATAATATATAATATAGTATATAATATATAACTAATAGCATCAATGTACTTAAATATAAAATAAATGACTCCAAACATATCTTTTGTAAAGTTCTGCCTGAAAAGCATAATATTGAAATGCAATCAGCACAGCCTGATATTTCATTACTTTCCTCCCATTTTATCGCTCAAAAGTTTCAATAATTAGAAATATTATCTATATGTACTACTCACCTTTTCATAAGAACAAAACTTATGAAACGCTAAAACTTAACATTTATTTTACTGACAGCATAATGCATATTTATAACATTTGGGATTTGAATTTACAGGACCAATTTTCCTAGTACACAGGAAAACAAACATCTCCACACTAGAAAAATCTGCAAAGAATTAAAACTATGACAATAAAGCACTCTAATTAAATTTCCTCTCCTCCACACATAGGTTATAGTCAATCAGAAGGCTTAAGTGATAAAACATACATATAGTATATGTGAGAATAAACTAAGTACATTTAAATTACATCTTTAAATTTTTGCATTAGTTAAATTTAAATTTTTTTAGCTGAACATTGCACCATTTCATGATTTTAATGTACATATATATGTATAAATATATGTATGGCTACAAAAATATTCATGTATCAGATATTATGGCAAACAAGACAAATAAATAATAAATTATGACCCAGGATAAGCCATATCACACATATAGCAAGGAGAGATTTTGGGGGTTTTTTTGGTACTGGGGATCAAACTCGGGTCCTTGTGCTTGCGAGGCAGGTGGCAGAACCACTGAGCTAAATCCCCGGCCTGAGAGATTTTTATAGTATTATTTTTGTTATGTAAATTACAGCATTAATTTTATATTTTGTTTATTTTTGAATATCTCCTTAAATATATTAAGTTAATTACTATTTTCCATATGAACTTATTAAATGAAGATCTGAAAAAATATGGTATTTTTCTTACAACTCTACAAATATATTTAAGATCTCAAAGTGAAGTCTAGTTTATTTTATTACATTTTCAACATGCATTGTTTTATTAAAAGAGAAATTAGATTGTCATTTGTACTTTGCTGTCTTTCCTTGCTCTCCAGACTTCTTATATAATTGATGTTTTCTCAAAGTACTCTATTCTTCTCCTTAATAGCACTTATCACAATTGTTAATAGCTTAATAATTAGTATAATTATTTTTTAATTTGGGCATTTTTGCCTGACATAGACTCCATGAGGGTAGCTGCTTTGTTTCTTTCTACTACAATAATTCATTACCATCTTCAATTCTTGGCATACAGCTGGACTGTAATGAATACATGTTAATAAATTGGTTTAATTTATATATTGACATGTTTTAAAATACAGGTTTTAGAGGTCTATGATGGAATAAATCATCACATACTACATTTACATTGTTACTACAGACAGCTTTTTAAAAATAATGATATAATTAGTAAAATTACATTTGAATTTTAAATTTTAATGTACTCACCATATTAGTAATTGAAATCAGTACTGATTATTTGGTTGATTAAGTTCTAAAATTTTTCCTTTTCCCTTTTATTCTTCCTCCACACTAGAAGTTTTCTTTCCTCTACTTAAATCTCTCCAAAAATAGAAAAGAAAGAGTGAAACAAAAATATTTCACTTCACTGGCAGAATTAATGGTTTGAAGAAGCTTTGAATTTAGAAACCATGCCATCCCTCCTCATTATTGTCAGTAATATTTTCAGCTGCAGAAGCTGTAAACATATGGAACAAATACCTCAATAACATTTATAATTTAAAAATAGGAGTGTCCTATGAAGAAAAACTTTAAATAATAGATTGTGCTTTCTATAGTACTTTTTAGAGAAGCCAAGTACCTCTCCATTAAGATATGATGAAATTGATAAAGCAGATTTTTATTTGTGCTTAGTCATTTTTTCCTGAAAGGACCAATCTAAATAATAAAACAATTCTATTTTTCAAAAATATGTATAGTTTTCTAAACCAATCTTGAAATAAAGTATTCACCACTCTAATCTACATGGGATCCACACATTATAAAGTTCACATCAAAATGAGGAAAATGAGGAACAAGAAGGACACACGCATTGAGAAGCATGAAATGCAGTGCTCTTGTCTCATGCTTTCATGTGTTCCACACCCTGACAAACCTGGCTCAGACTGCTGTTTCTTTTTCGGCAATGGTTTGTCATCACTTATTGTACCATTCACCGTTTTCTGCTGGTCTTCCCATGTAACTTCTAGTATAAATCAAAAAGAAGGTCATCAGAGCTTGTCAGAAACATCAGATAATATGTATAATAAGAACCTAAAAATAGTTTAGGTTGTTTTAAGACATGTTCCCTACATTCTCACATGTACTATGAAATAGGTTCTTCACATTTTAAATATAGGAAGATGACATTAATTGAATTCCTTACAATCTTAAGCACCCAAAGCATTAAAATTTATTTTCAATAAATTTCAAAATCTATTTTCAATAAGGTATGAAGAAACTGATAATTAAAGTGGTTTGACAAAACTCTTTTCTTTTTTGATATTAAATATTTTAGAAATAAACATTATATTAACTTTTTTGCTACTGCAAAATTAAATGTTTATATATAATTATAGAGGTTTTTACATATCAAGAGAAAATTCATAAAAACAATTCAATATATAAGAAAATTGGCTGGTTTACTACCATATTTAGTACTTTCACTAAAGAACAAAAATTTTATGTTATGAAATATATCAGTAAATACCTTGATAAAAGAAGACAAAATATTTAGTGGTAACAGCTTAGTATCACTGAATATGAGTTATATGGCTTATCCAAGATCATCTAGAATTATTTCTACTATTCATTCATTCTACAAATATGTATACGTGCTGCCGAAGTGAGCACCATTCTACAAATATGTATTCAGCACTTACTAGGCATGTCTAGGTACTGGGGATATAAAAGCAAACAACAGGTAAAAAGCCACACGTTCATAAAAGTTGTCTTTCAGTGGGAAAGATACAGTTTTTAAACAAATAAATAATACTGTAGTTTCTCTTCAGATCATATAAATCTTTTGCCTTTTAAACAAATAAATAAGTAAATATATTGTGACATAGATATTGATAAGTACTAAAGGGAGAAACATGAGGTAGATAAAGCACAAATGAAACGTCCGCATGACAAAATTTTAGATAGGGTAGTAAGGCAAGGTCCTCTCTAAGACGGCAACTGCCTGAGTAAGAACTCAAGGGTGTAAGGCAGCTATGCGGGGCAGGATACGCAGGGTAGGAATATGCAAATGAAAATGTTCTGCGGTGAAGCTGTCTGATATGCTCCTGACAGCACTGAGACCAGAGTGCCTGGAGCAAAGCAAACAACTAGACAATGTAGAAGGCAAAGCAGAAGTAGGAATAGAGGCGGGAAAGGGGGAACAGATCATGTATTGTCTCGTTAGCCACATGTGAAAAGATTCACCAGCCATAATTTCATCTTATTTTCATAGCAGCTCTCATAAACCCATATACCTCTTATTACTTTACTTTCTTGGCACTCACATATTTCCAAAGCTATAAATACTGTAAGGCAAATAGACCTTTAGTAGCTATGTACATCCTAACTGCTGTAAAGTTCTACTATGCTATATGTGGAGCTCTGCTACGTTGTCCAAATTTAACCCTAAATTGTGGAAAACTAACCTTTTGTAATGTGAAGCAAACAAAACGTACTGGGAAGATAAAATTACTGTCAAACATGGGAAAAATACCTATACATCAACCTCACATAGAGGTGGGTTTGAATATATTACTCTTTGATTACTTATAATATTAGAATTGACTGAATTGGGAATTTCCAATTCCTAGACCTGAAGTGAATGTTATTAATAATATGACACTGTATTCTGGTCCCCAGAGAAATCACCTATTACAAGGGAAAAAACTTCGTTTGGCAGTCCTAAAGTTATACAGCATCGAGGTGTACAGTTTACACTCTGAGTTTCTCAATGGTGAATAATAAGATGAAGATACAGGATTTCCAGAAGGTAAGAAGTCCAACTAAAAATGCTGTATTTCAATCAACTATTCATGGAAACAGAATTTAAAAACCCTTAAAAAACATAAAACGTTTTATGAAACTCTAGTTGTCCTTAGTATAAAAACAAGGAAATCTCTCGCTCCTCAAAGTTAATCTGTAGTAATACAAAACCAACAGACTAGCTTGCCCTCATGCAAGCTAGGCAGACAGAGAATAATAAACTCATTAAACTATTAAATGTTGAACGGCTTGTACTTTTGATTATATATCAATAAATAATGAAAGATCTTATAAATCTCACAGAGTTGTGCCCAAAAGCAGATGCTACAGTTGTTATTTTAAAAGTTGTTTCATGTTTTGCCATTTGATAAAGTTTTGATACTTTCAGTAACAGAAGACAGACTAACTCTGAAGCAAGATTAAGTGCAGAAGTAGAAATTGCTTGTTCTGAAAATGTGTAAATTGGCTAAGAATATATTCTGAAGTTTGGAGAAAAAACTTTAAGACATAACGTTTAACTTTTAAACGTTTTCTTTGAGTTGATTTTTTTGTTGAAGATAAACCATTTATAGACAGCTGAGTTGACAGAGTGAAGTAAGCAAATATTTTTGAATATTATGACATGCCAGTAAGAGAAAAATTCTCATCACTCTAAATTTATAAATTCCAGCCAATACAATGAATGAATTAAATCAAGGCTATTGATGACTGCTAGAAAGGAAAAGCGCTTTGTCACCAGACTGAGCCAAGGGGGTTGGCTTTAGGAACAGTGCCACCCTAAATAGGCGTGTAGCCTCAGGCAGATGTCATAGCGTGCCCGGCCTCTAGCTTTCCTGATATATATTATCTCACACACACACACACACACACACACACACACACATTATCAGATCTCCCCCCCAGTCCCTGTACCAGGAACTGAAAACAGGACCTGTGCATGCTAGACAAGCATTTTATAGCTATATCCTCAGCCCTGCATTTGTTATTTTTGATGTCAGAAAATTGGTTCTCAGAGAGAAAATAAGTTGCTGTAACCCAGCATGGAAATGTATCTAAAGTACACCTTGATTTAGTATAACTGTCTTATGTGCTTTACATGTTTCTTGGCCTGTTGGTCTGGCTGTTAATCTGTATTTATAACAATTAACTTAATGAAGACTTATAAATAAATGAATCAGAAAAAACAGAAACAAACTGGTCCTGAAAAGTCTGTAAGATTATTCCAGCTCTGAAATTATAGTGACTTGTGCTGATAACTTTTTTTTATGGTTTGAATTTTTTTCTTTTTCTTTTATTTCTCTTCTGTAAAAGAAAAAAAGAAGAGAAATAGACTGACAAAACTAGACTTTGTGGAAGAGCACCTATAAAAGACATGATGAAACTGAGACACTGACAGTTCGGAAGATTCCCAAGTTCAAAATGTAGCTATTATAATTTATAACTTATATAATTAAAACAAAATATTTAATTAAAAGCCAATTACTTTGCTATAAGGAATATGTTCAAATTGAAAGTTGTTTTATTTACATTAAACAAAAATAGAAAAAATTTTGAGCCTGCAACACCTTAAAGAGATTTTTCTATTAAAGTCCTTTATGGTAAGTGTTGAAAAATAAAATTTTAATTTGACATATTAAACATCTAAAATTGAAAATCAAGTAGAGAGCTAACCTATATTTTATATCTACTACCAAAAAGTAAAAATCAGGGATATATAATTGCTAAGTATTACTTTAAGTAAATATATGTCAGCCTGATAAAAACTAGGAATTATTTGAATAGGAAAAAAGTTTCTTCCAACAAGATAATTTTTTTCACCAAGATGCTTACTAAACACCTAAAAAACTCATTGAGTTCAGTTGTGAATCTATTTCTTAAATGTCATATAATTAAACTGATACATAATTAAAATTTATTCCTAAAATTCAATAAAATAAGTAGGAATAATTGTTAAGATTTGAAATTCCTAAAATAATCACTGTATTTACCCCATTTTTAATTTGTAGATGGGAAATCTTGATGATTGTTTTAATAAATAACACATAATCTTAAGTGATTTTATTCATATTTAACCATGAGGTGATTTTTTATGTTATTTAAGAAACCCATATGTCTACAAAGTAACTATATTCCAGGTAGTATCTACCGCCTAGGGTAGTCAATCCTATGCCAACTCTGACTCCAAGAGCACAAATTTCTGTTAGCAAGACCATATTTGTGTAATGTGTCTTAACACGTACTACCAAATCCGACCCTGTAAAACACAGAAGAGACCGTCTACAGTATCAGCTAGTTTTTATAGACAGGAAAACAGAGAGCTAATTAACAACTATTAAGAGCAGAACAGTTATCCTAGGTAGCAAACAATTTCATATATATTACCTTACTAGGTTCTCGAGGTAGCATACTAGGAATGAGAAAATGCACTGATCCCTTTTCTCAGAGTAATTAACTAGGTGAAAGTTTAGGGTCATACAGTCTATGCTCTGTACAGAATGGACCTGAGCCAAAGTTCAAAAATGTGTGTACTCTTTCTCCTATACCATATCAGCTTCCTAAGATTAAATTACTCTCAACAATAAAGAGAAGAAGGTAGCATTAGCCCTGTGTTTAGGAAATCAGTAATGATACAGCCTTGAACAATTTCTGGAATTTGCAGAAAGGTATGAAGTAGAACAGTGAGTTCTTTCCTAAATCTGACTGGTCACTTGAAACTTTGGAAGTACAGAAGACATAAGATGAGTAAAAGGAGAAAACTGAAATAAAGAGGAAATACCACCATAAAAAACAAAAAGCTTGAGGGATAATGAAAAAATTCTATTTACAAGGGCTTAAACTCCCACATTGGTTCACTTAGATTTGAGAATTGTGAATGAATACAGAAAATTTTAATGTAATTATATTGAAGACCGAATGTACTTCTTACTTTTCCATAATACAGATGTCACTGAATGCCTGTTCAAATCAAAATTCATGACAATAACATTGATATAGTAAATCTTCCTTGATATTCTCTCATATCAGTTTTGGACACATGGTTGTTTATCTAAATAGGGAGAGAATAGTGTATTTAGGGAATATTCACTAATTTCACTAAGTCCATGCCTATCTAGATATTAATCTAATTTGGAAATTAAGACATGGATAATAATATTTTCCATGTACAAACAAGAAACAAGCAAGGCAAAGGTCCTACTACCCTGTCTATAAGCTATCATCCTA